AACAGTACATGAAAGGAAAAATATAGAACAGACACAAAGGATCCTCAGACGTTTTAGAACCTGCGAAATCCCTAGAAAAAATAAGTGTACTACCTGAAGACTATGACACTTCGGAAGTGAAGAACGGGAGTCAATTGGATTCTATACGTACTATCGAACGAGTTGGAGTGCTTCTGAATAATAAACGTTTCGAATTGTACAATAATTATATAAACTGTACATTTCTGTATTCTTTACGATCAGTTTCTCCGAGTGGACGCTCCGAGTTGCGCAATCCCGTCAAAAAGGCGAAAAGCATTTCGCAAGAGCCGTGGTGACCCCGATGGAGTCAAAAATGGCGCGGAAGCACGTCTCTCGTTCGACCGAGACGAACCGTGGCCGCAAAGACGCGGGCCGAAGTCTCGAAAGTAAAATTCGCAGACCGGAGGAGGGGAGGAAACCGCATGCACGAGAGGAAGGAAAAAGAAAGGAGAAGGAAGAAAAGAGAAAAAAATGAAAGCCGGTCGAAACGTTGCGGTGCACGTGCCCCTTTTTCCAGACGATGGTTTGCACCGTTGGTTTGGTTTTTTCGGCGGCGCGAGTTGCAGCGGAAACGCGCGGCCTCGCGCCACAATGCGCGGTGGTGAAAAAAAAAAAAAAAAAAAACGCGGCGGCCAGCATTTTTGTCAGTCTAGACACGTGTTCCTCGCGGCGGAGGAATCGGCGTTTTCTCCGCGTTGGTCTCCGGAGCGTTTGTCGCGCGGCGCTGTTTTCTGTATCGCGCGCGGACCATGTGCTCGCCGCCCCTCATCGAGACCCTCGCGCCTCATGTGCTCGATTAATTCCAGTCCTCCTCCCCCTTTTGTACAGATGCTGACTGTCCGTTTAAAGAGACGGCGATCGTTTGCTTCTTTGACATCGAAGCAAACTTGATGCGCGTTTCGCGATGCCCCGATCACAACCAGCGTTCTCTTTCGTGAATGGACGAACATCTAGGAGACTTCGAGAAATTTTGCACGCAACTTTATAAACGTAGGACGAATACCCCTTCTATAATGGAATCATTGCATTTTTTAAATTTAAGATTTGTGCTGAGAAGCACGAGAAAGCAAAACTATACGTATATTGGATACTAGACTGTGGATTTTTATAAGCATTTATGTGGAATTAGTAGAAAATATAAAATATTATAGCATCAGATCATGATTGAATATGATAAATTTTTCAGAACTTCCATTTTAATTGTTTGTTTTAAATTTGTTTCTCAAAAGAGCCGAATTATTCATAATTGATAGGATCAATGCAATTTCTCCTACGTTTGCACGAACTGTTGATTTAAACCTGTGTAAACATCTGCAATCTAATGATCAACGATATTAACAATATTTACAATACACCACATTAGTTTTTTAATTAACTTCACAGAAATTTCTATCTTAAAGTTGTAATAAAAAAGAGTCACATTATAACATTGGAACAATCCATTGGGATTGTAGAGATACGCTCGAAGAAGCTCAACTCTTCCTTCGTTTTAACAAACGAAAAGGAAGAAATATAGTGTCACAGTGAGAACGAACGAATTTTCTGTAATTTCTACGATGTGTACATAATTCGCATCTTATTGAAATCTTTTTCTCAAACTTCTTTATCACGTAATAATCTTACGTAAAGACATCCTTCGAGAATCGCACGAGCGCGACGAAAAATTGGAAATCTCGATTATCTGTTTCACAATTCTGTCCTACGCGACACGTATTTCTGACGCGAGAACGGACAATCGCCATCTTTGCGACGACGCGACGCGGACTTCGTTAGGTTTTTGCGAACGTTAAGAGACGAGGCTTTCACCTTGTTTCGCAATCGGCGCAACCGATTTTGATCGATTAGCCAGAAATGGACCGTATCGTCGAAATATAACGATAATGCCCTGATCGTTTTGCGAACTATATTACGTCACGATCAAAATCACGATCGCACGGTCTCGCGATAATGATAATTTACGCCGTAAAAAAAAAAAAAAAAAAAAAAAAAACAGGAGCAAAAATGATTTATGGCGGTTGTAATTTCGTAGAGAGAGGTTGATAATGCCGGTTGTCCCTGGTTTTTCTTCCACAACGATTTATCTCGCACCTAAAGAGTGGGCATTTACTTGAAATACCTTGGCATTACGCAGATTGATTTTGCAAATTATTATTAGCAGGTTACGGATTGTTTTATTATAGGGTGTTAGCTTGTCATTTTATCAAAATTAAAGTAAATGTCACAAAAGTATTTGAACAATTCATTACATATATATAAATTAGTAATATATATAATATAATATTACATATAATAATATATATATACATATAATTACATATATATAAATTAGGACCATTTTCAACATTCACTATATTTTTTGTATACTAACGTTTATTGTTTATTTATATATTATTATCTACACACTATATACTGTTATAATATTTGTTACATTCAGATACTAACTTTTGTTACATATAGGTACTTATTTTTCACCAAATGTATGTGACACACTTTATGTATATATACTAAATTACTATGTATACTAAATTATGTATATTATGCTACACTGTGTATGCTAATGTTTATTACAGCAATATCTATCAAATTGATTTCATATTTTATCAATATAACCGGTATTGATAGATGTTACGACAATTTTGTCAATACATATATATATAAATAGTCGTCTGTTACGACAGTGCTAGCGAACTTCCAAAACGTTTCACATAACGCGTACGTATAAAATTCTAAAAAAACCTGCATAAAAATTCCAAAAAAAAAAAAAAAAAAAAAAA